TGGGACAGTTGAACAGGTATCCTACTTTTTTTTTTAAATTGTCTCAGCACACTAAACAATTTCATTTTTGAAGCAGGAAAAGGATGTTGAGATAGATGCTGCTAAAAACAACAATGTCAAACTCTGACAGAATTTTATATATATATATATATATATATAATTGACTTCAGAGAGGAAGGGAAAGGGCGAGAGAGATAGAAACATCAATGATGAAAGAGAATCATTGATTGGCTGATTGGAACTGTGACTTCCTGATTCATAAGTCAACATTCAATCACTGAGCCATGCTGGTCTGTCAGAATGTATCACTTTATAGACAGAAACCTTTGGCTTGTTTAGTAACTACTAGAGGCCTGGTGCATGAAAATTCATGCACTGGAGGGGGTCCCTCAGCCGGGCCTGACTCCTCTCACAGTGTGGGAGCCATCAGGGGCAGGAGGAGACCTGGCGATCAGGGGAAGGTGATGTCCCCATCACACCTCTGCTGCTGGCACTGCCAACAGCTCAAGCATTGGCTGGCCCTGGTTACCTGAGCCTCGGGTGGCCCTAGGTGGCTGGGTAGCTGCCAATCAAGGCTTGCCTGCATCTTGAACTGGTCTTGGGTGGCTGGGAGTCTGAGGGGACTGGGGGACTCCAGAGGCAGGCACGCAGAACACCTACCACCCTGGTTGGGCTAGGGGACTGGGTGCCACCATCTTGTGGCTGTGGATGCCACCATTTTGAAGTCAGGGAAGTCAATTAGCATATTCTTTCCTTATTGGCTGTAAGTGCAGCCATCTTTGAGACCACGTGAGGGTCAATTAACATATTCCCTCTTTATTACATAGGATTAGACATTTAATAATTTCACTGAAACAAATTTAGAGTGAACCTTGCAAAGATAAATAGGAAGAACTATTTAAATAAATGGTCCTAAACATAAATGCTAGGATGAAAAAGATGACTATAAAGTGCTGATTGAAAAGAAATTTTCTCCCAGGAGACTGTTCACATGACTGTTCTGCTCACTTCCACATGGTAGTTTTAAAGAAACCCCAGACATCTACACAGCTTTATGAATGACCTTCAAACTACTGAGTTCTTAGGAGAGACCAGCCCCATAGTTTCTGAAATTTTGTATGAGATTTCTTGTTTTCAAATCCATCATGTTGTCATGGAGAGGTGTGTGAGAGTTTTGTAAAGGCTTATAGGTAACATTTCATTTCCCAGGATTGGTAAGGGAAATGCAATTGGTAGTAGTTTTTCTTTTCTTTTCTTTTAAAAATATATTTTATTGATTTTTTTTTATAGAGAGGAAGGGAGAGAAATAGAGAGCTAGAAATGTCGATGAGAGAGAAACATCAACCAGCAGCCTCTTGCATACCCCCCACAGGGGATGTGCCAGCAAACAACATACATGCCCCTGACCAGAATCGAACTTGGGACCCTTCAGTCTGCAGACCGATGCTCTACCACTGAGCCAAACCGGTTTTGGTTGGTAGTAGTTTTTCATACTTATCTGTTTTCTCTAAAATATTATTTCTATCCCTACTATGGATGGTGTAAATTTGTTAAGATATTAAAAAATATTTAATCTCAAAATGTTCTTCTCACTAAGCAGTGATTAAGTAGCCTCTGTTATCATTTGAGATCACTTATTATCTAATAAAAGTTTTTCAATGGAATATACAAACCCAGGTTGTACTATAAAATTGAGAAAATTAATTTTCTTACATTTCCTTTTTTTGTACCTAAAATTAAATTTCATTATTGAACTCATATTACTAATAGATTTCTCAAGAATATGTATGAATTATTATTAGTTTGTGAGAAAGCCTATGGAATTATCCTTCAAAATAGGAATCAGAAAAAAATATATTATTGATATAGCTTAGGGACAAATTCATCTAATAGCCTCTTACTAGGAACTATTTTGAGCAATAAAAATTAAATGTGTAAGTCAGACCAGTATGGCTTGTTGCAGTTTTTTTCTTACAAGGGTATTTCTTGGTTCACATGATCTTACACATCTAGAGGAAATAATGAACAACACAAACAGACCCAGAGAAAGAGAACCAGCGATCAGACTCTCAAACCTCAGAGGGAAAGTAAGGGAGAATGGGGGTAAGGGGAAGAGATCAACCAAAGGACTTGTGTGCATACATATAGGCCTAGCCAGTGGCCATGGACAGCGGGAGTTGGGGGGGGAGGGGACAATTATGTCAGACCATAATCAATTTAAAAAAAAAATCAATAAAATGTATTAAAAAACACTTTACAAAAACAAAAAAATTAAAGAAACAGAAATCAATATGTAGGAAAATTTTAAGAAGGATAAGAATAAAAAGTATTGATAGGTATTTAAAAATGTGTGTAAATATGAAAAGTTCATAATTAAAATTTTATTTAAAAAATGTGTAAGTCAGGAAAACTATACCAAGTGAAAATCCCTTTCACGAAGGGCAGGCTATTTCAAAAGACATTTTGATATTCTCCAACAGCCCCCATTCTGTCCCTGAAGGCTACCATACTCCTTTAAGGGTATAAGAAAGCACTACCTTCTGTTCTTACAACTACATTCAGCTGCGATTAATCCTCTCCATAGTTTATCTGCCATCCACATACCCTAGACTCTCATTGCAACCAATTGGGGCCAGTATCATATTGAAGGATGTGGAATTAATTCATTAATGTGTTATGTTTTAAATCTAAATAACCATAGAGATGTCTTAGTGATCTGACTCTATCAGATTGATGGCTGTGCATAAGAATGCAACAAAATTATTGTAGAAAACATCAGTAAATCAGTATGCTTGCACTAGACTGTTTCATTCTCTTATTCAAAATCTAAACAATACTTGGGAAGATTGAGAGCAGTAATAGAGATTTGTAAATATCAAAAATTTTTTTTTGTAAATAGTCACAATTATGTTTTCAATTAAAATGATATATTTTCTGTGAAAGCCTTTGGCGCCATTATTTGTTTTTTTGGAAGTAAATTTCAAGGAAATACGCAAAATAGCAGGAGCTAGCAACTATGACTGGCTTGAATTTCTCTGAAAAATATTATGAAATATTTTACAAAAAATTCATTACTATTGTGAATCGAGATTGATCTTACTCTTATTCAATGAAAGTAATTTTTTACCTAATACTGAGTTACATTCCACTTTAGATTTCCCATTTCAAAGGGCGACTCAAATTTCTAAGATGTTAAACCAAGTATTGAGCCATTTTTGTATATGTAATAAAAGTCTTTAAAATTAAAATTGTAATCCTAAAAAAACCAAATGCATGAAAAAAAATGGTCTGAGTGTATAACAAAAGGGAGTTATATAATTCTACTTGAGTGAAATCTTTCATCTTTGATTTACAGGTTAGAGTCCTCTTTAACTAAAACCATATTGTTCTATATCTTTTATATCATGGCCTCTCCTAAAACCTTGTTTTAATTAAGGTTTCTTTCAGATTTCTGAATAAAAGCATGACAATCTTCACTTATGGCTTTAATATATCCTTTGAGTTAGGAAAATATATAAAAAGAAACATCAACTCTTTCAAAAGCATTGTCATATATTAAATACTGCAAGGTATTCTATAGCAATGTCTTTGTGTGTTCGAGTTATACACTGAAATAAAATTTTGGATGGTAGGGGAATAACCTACTTATATGTAGTAAGTTACTTTAAATCTCAGAAATAAAAGTCTGTTATTTTTAGCCTTTGACGCTAAGGCAACATGTGCAAAGGTTAAGTTCCTGGTGGTTTTGTTTTTTTTCTCATAAAGGCACAACTTCAAGGTTAACTCAATTCAAGGTGACTTCAATGTCTTCATTAACACATTTCAGAGATCTAGAAAATTCAGTAACATTGCTTAAGCCATATTTACCTCCATGATTTCACAGCTATAAGAACACTCTAGACAAAGCAACTGTGTTAACCTGGATAATAATAATAATAAAAAAAAATACTCAAGGCTCCTGAGAAATTGGGGGAGATTATGGGAAATCTAGTTTTCTACAGGAAATAAAGATGAAAGGTTAGAAGAAAGGAAGTGATGGAAGGCAGAAAAAAGAAAAGTGAGGGAATAAGTTCTTGATAGATTTTGGAATAAATTAAGACCGTCTTTGAAAAGACACTGGAAATCCTCCACAGAACATATGCTTAGAGCAAGGGATGTGAGCTGGGAGGGAGGTCTCATCCTCCCAGTTGCAAATCTCATTTGTGTGTGAGAACACAGGGAGGGATGTTAGGGAAATAGGGTAGCTTTTTTTTTTTTTTTTTTTTTTTTAAGTGACATAAAATATTGCACCATCCTATTCAGTGTTTGAGGTTTGTTTGGCGTGTGGAGGGGGAGTTACGGCATGGTTTGTTCCACTGAAAAAGCCTCAGTGCAGTTCCTCCATCTTGAACTCTTAACTAGCAAGAGTCGAACCATGTGTTAAAACAAAGGCCAAAAAACAAACAGAACCAAACCAAACAAAATCCCTGCGATCTGTCGGGAATTGCTATCCGTTCATAGCTGAAAGCAAATCCTGTAAACAATCCGAGACTGTTTGACAAAAATTACCCAATGAAAAAAAACAAAACAAAAAAAAAAAACAACGGATCAGAATGTAAGGAATGAGTATTTCTTAGGTTTTGCCCAAAATTTCGCTGGCTGCCACAGCGTTTGTAATGAACAGTATCTAATACTGTATTAGACGTTCCTGATTCCTGGGAGTGGGTCACCCAGCCTACTAAATGCGTGCTGGAAGCAGTTTCTCCCAATCGTGGTTTACTGTAACTTTAGAATCACAGCGGTTACATTTACGGAATCTTTAATGCCCTTTCAAGTCCATCCAAAGAACAAGTGAAGCTGCTGTTCAGAATTTCGTGCCCAGTGTTTATGTTCCATCGAATCTGTGCCACCCAGGCAGCAGACAAGACACGTCTGTGGGTGCTGGGGTGGGGGGTGGCGGGGATACACAATGATGTCACACACAGGAAATATGGGGGGGGGAGAGAGGGGGTCTTGGCACTTCACAAGGCTGGCTCCTCTTCCATAGGCTCACCAGCGATTCTGTAAAAATAAACAGGCAATCAGAATTCGGCATAAGAGTACACAATGACATTGTAGATTTTCATGCATAATCAAAGCTGATTTTTCAGCTCTCTCTAATGTTTATTTGTGCTATTCAGTTATCCATAAATAGAGTTTCTTTCCTAGGAAGTATAAACAAAATGTCAGTGGAAAAACATTTTAGATCCAAGCAATCATTGAAAATGTTCCTGTTTATATTAAAACATGTCAGCATATTTTATAACTCTAGATTCCAAAATGTTCATGTTTTGTGTCTAGTTCGGTCCAATAATTTATTGAAAAAATTAACTACGATATTTTATTTTAGGAGCAATTGCAGCGATTTCCTATGGAACCAGATTGCTAACTAGAGCAAAGAACCCAGCTAGCTTCTGGAGGAAACTCACCAGGGCTCTGGGTTTTGCTTCTGTTCTTTCATAACTGGATTGGCTGCCTGCCGGAGGCATTTCAAATCAAATTCTGAATTTGATTAGCAAATCGCTGCTACAGACCCAACGTTTTTACAAGGAACGCACTATGGTAGTGTGTAAATAGTTTTTATTCGGCATCATCTGTGGGGTGTTCTGCTCGGGTAAAACCAAAACTAATTGCTTGAAATTTATACTTGAGATTTAACCTTAATTTGGTAACACTCTGAGGGTGTTTTAAGGCAAACTTGCAGAATGGTTTTTTAATTTAGCCAAAGGGACTAATTGTAGTAGGAACCCGCATACATGAGGTAGTTGGATTGACGAGGGAATTCTGCTGGAATTCTGGATGCATGGGAGAATTGCGATTGAATCTGAACTCTGCAAGTTGCTAATGCTGTAACTGCACTTCCGTGAGGCTGTGGTTTCAGGTTTAAAGAGGATGAGAAAAAAGACGCTGCTGACTGAATTAGTGCAGGTTAAAGAAAAAGCAGGTAAAACTGACTTATAAACCAACAATATGAGACATTAGTTATTTAATACTTTGGATCTCTCTTTTCGTCATCTAACGTGTAAAATGGTGTTGAATAGCCTACGGATACAGAATTATGGCTACGCTGCCATAAAGAGACACTGTACATACTTGGATAACAGTTACCTCTGGGTGGTGGAATGATGGGTAGGTGGTTTTAATTTTCTTTTTCTTCTTGTTTATCTACTTGGAAATATTCTATAATGAATTGCTTTCCTACTAGAACAAAATGCTATGTTTAAAACACAGCTGTTTATGAAAACAAATGAACTGTTTAGTCATGTTATTTTATAGATTTATAAGAAAAAAAGCCAAGGTTTCTATGCGGTGAAAAAGTAGTTGCCATTGTAGCTTAGCGTTTTAATAACAAATTTAAAATACTGAAAGGTTTTTACCCCTGGGATGATAATAAGATTTTAATGCATCCTCTGATGAATGAGAACTATTAGGTACTCATTACTTAACATTACCAATAGGAGAGTGCCAAATGAGTCCATGTGAAACACTAAATACTATTATTACTAATACTACTACTACTATCCCTGATAATCTCTAAGGGAGTTTGTCTGAAAATGTACTGGATAAGAAAGTTATAAGTGCTTCGAGTTGCTATAAAAGATAGATAAAAGCTATCTAAATCATTAATACTCTATTAAAATGCTTCAAAACTAAAATTTCAGCATTCCGAGAAGAAACATTTTAAACTAAGGAAAACTAAATTAGTGTATTTGTAAACATGCAAACTTATTTGTATCTGAGAGTATAGAATCCTTAAACTACATATTTTTATATATAGAATCCTTAGATATAGAATCCTTAAACTACATATTCTAATGGAGACTGAATTTTCCAATTTCTTTCCTTCTAGCTTTTTTGAGATAAAATTGGCATATGCCATAGTGGATGTTTAAGGTGTACAATTAGTGTGATAATTTGATACACACATATATTGCAAAATATTTACCACAGTAATTAATCCTTCACCTCACATTATTACCACTATTTTGTGTTGTTATAGTAAGACCCATGCTGAATCTTCCTTTTTACAGCTGTATAATATTCTATTGCACTTATATACTGTATTCTGTGTCCATTTATCTGTCAATGGACACGAGGCTGTTTCCATGTCTTGGCTATTGTGAATTATGTTGCAATGAATATGAAAGTGCAGACATCTTTTCAAGGTAAGTGATTTTTTTTTCTTCTGGACCACATGGTAGTTCTACTTTTAAGTTCTTGAGAACCCTTCATACTGCTTTCCTTAGTGGCTGCATCAATTCATGTGCCAATCTATCGTGCCGAGGAGTTCCGTATTCTCCATATTCTCACTAACAATTGGTATCTATTGTTTTACTTGATGATAGCCATTTTTTTTTTTAAATATATTTTATTGATTTTTTTACAGAGAGGAAGGGAGAGAGATAGAGAGTTAGAAACGTTGATGAGAGAGAAACATCGACCAGCTGCCTCTTGCACACCCCCTACCGGGGATGTACCCGCAACCAACGTACATGCCCCTGACCGGAATCGAACCTGGGACCCTTCAGTCCGCAGACCGACGCTCTACCACTGAGCCAAACCGGTTTCGGCTTGATGATAGCCATTTTAACACATGCAATTAGAGATCTCCTTGTTGCTTTGGTTTGCATTTTCCTGATGATTAGTGATATTGAGCATCTTTTCATGAAGTTGTTAGCCATTTGTACATCTTTAGAAAAATATTCTGGTCCTTTGCCCATTTTTAAATTGGATTATTATTATTACTAGTGGCCTGGTACATGAAATTCATGCAGGGGGGGCGGGGGGGGTGTCCCACAGTTCGACCTGCACCCTCTCTAATCTGGGACCCCTCTAAGGATGTCCTGTTGCCATTTTACAGAGATTGGGCCTAAACTGGCAGGCGGACATCCCTCTCACAATCCGGGACTGCTGGCTTCAAACTGCTCACTGCCTGCCTGCCTGATTGATTGCCCTTAACCACTCTGCCTGTCAGCCTGCTTGTCCCCAACTGCCCCCCGCCGCTAGCCTGCTCACTCCCAACTTCCCCCCGTGCCAGCCTACTCACCCCAACTTCCCCACCTGCTGGCCTGCTTGCCCCAACCTTCCCTTCCCACTGACCTGCTTGCCCACACTGCCCTCCTGCTGGCCTGCTCACTCCAAACTGCCCCCCTCTGCTGTCCTGACCCCCACTGAGGGCCTGCATGCCCCCTGCTGGTCTGCTTATCCCCACTGGCACCGCCTCCCACCAGCCTGATCATCCATAACTGCCATCCCATGCCTGGCCTGATCACCCATAGGTGACCAAAGCTCCCCGCCCCTCCTTTTTTCCTATTTTTTTTTTTCAGTGCCTCTTTGAGTGGAGGCCAGGGCGGCTGGAAGCAAGTATCTGGGATTTAATTATCTTCTATAATTGAAACTTTGTAGCCTTGAGCGGAGGCCAGGGCTGGCAGGGCAGGCGGGAATCTTGGCTTCCTCCAACACTGGGGGCAACCCAAGCCTCCTGCTCACTCCAGTTCTGTGACCTCCTCTATCTTAGTTGGGTTAATTTGCATAATCCATCTTGATTGGCTGGTGGGTATAGCAGAGATATGGTCAATTTGCATGTTTCTTTTATTAGTGTAAATTATTTATTGAATTGTCTGAGTTCCATGTAAATTGTGGATTTGAATCCATTTTTAGATACATGAATTGCAAGTATTTTCTCCTTTTTCATAGATTTCCTTTTCATTTTTATTGTCTTTTGCACCATGGAAATTTTGGTCTGCTGTAGTCACATTTGTTTATTTTTATTGCTTTTTTCTTGTTGTCACATCTAAAAACTAGTGCAAAAAAAACAGGTCAAGGATCATTTTTCCTATGTTTTCTTTTGAGAGTTTCACAGTTTCAGGCCTTACATTTAAGTTTTAACCCATTTTGAGCTAATTTTTGTGACTGGTATAAGATAGGATCCCGATTTCTATTCTTTTATATGTGAATATACAGTTATTCCAAAAACACTTACTAAAGAAGTTATTATTTCCCCATTGAATATTCTTGGCTCCCTTGTCAAATATCAATTGACCATATGTGAGAGGATTTATTGCTGGGCTCTCAATTCTGTTCCAATAGTCTATGTGTCTGTTTTTATGCCAGTGCCATATTGTTTTAATTATTTCTGCTTTCTAATATAGTTTGATATCTCTAGCTGTGTCCTTTCTCAAGACTATAGTGTTGGCTATTTGGGATTTTCTGAAGTTCCATATGAACTTTAGGATTTTTTCCTATTTCTGTGAAAAATGCCACTGGAGTTTTGGTAAGAATAGCATTGAATCTATAGATAACTTTGGGTAGTATGGATGTTTTAACAATATAAACTCTTCTAATCCATGAACATGGAATATATTTACATTTATTTGTATATTCTTCAGTTTATTTAATCAAATTCTTCATTGTTTATGGTGTATAGATCTTATTTTGTATCCTGGAACTTCACTGAATGTTTAATAGTGTTAACAGATTTTGTTTTGGTGGAATTTCAGCATTTTTTTTATATCCAAGATCATGTCACCATCAAACAGAAACACTTACCTTGTTTCTGATGCTAGAGTGAAAATTTTGAACATTTTATCATTGAGTATGTTAGCTGTGGGTCATATGTGAGCTTTATTATTTTGAGGTATGTTACTTTTATACCCAATTTGGTGAGAATTTTTATTATCAAAGATAGTGAATTTTTTCCATTGTTTTTTCTGACCATATGATTCTTATTCTTCATTATATTAATGTAGTGTATCATGCTGATTGATTTGCATATGATGAGCCATCTTTACACACAATTTGATCACAGTGTATGATCCTTTTAAAGTGCTGTTGAAAATGGTTTGCTACTATTTTTCTGAGGTTTTTGTATCTATGTTCATCAGGAATATTGGCCTATACAGTTTTCTTTACTTTAATATTCTTGTCTGGCTTGTCATCAGGATAATGCTGGCTGCATAAAATTAGTCCTGTGTGTTCCCTTCTCTTTCATTTTTTTTTTTTGGATGAGTTTGAGAAGTATT